CGGCGGCAGCGGAGCGGGGCGGGCAGGTGAGGGGCGGGGATGGAGCCGGGGGCTGGGTAGGGCAATGCAGGGCTCAGCGTCCCCCCTCACGGCCTGTGCCCTCCCGCAGCCCCGATGGCGGCTCCCGCAGCGACCGGGCCCCCAAGATCTACACGAAGACGGGAGACGCAGGTAGCGCCCGGGGGTGTGTGTGTGGGGGGTGGACGGGGACATACACACACCGAGGGAGCTCCGCCGGGGCGGGCCCGGCCTCTGAGCGCCTCCCCCGGGGCTTTTCCCAAAGGCTTCTCCAGCACCTTCACCGGGGAGCGGAGGCCGAAGGGCGACCGGATCTTCGAAGCCTTGGGAGCCACCGACGAACTGAGCTCGGCCATCGGGTAACCCCCTGCCCCGGGACCCCCTCCCGCTGCCGGCCGTGTCCTGCCGGGCTGGGTGTGCTCTCCGGGGAACTCACCACCCAGGCCGGGGAGCTCTGGCCCAACCCAGGCCCTCCTCATGCACAAATCCTAAGGACACTGTCCCAAACCCCTTCTGTGGGGCTCTTCTGGGATCCTCTTCCATGCAGAACTTCTCCCCCAGCCCCACCGCCCAGCAGGAGGGGAGAGGACATGCTGGCGACCAGATTTCTCTGGGGAGGGGGGGGTTGCACTGACAAACAGCCAGATCCTCTTCCATGCAGAACTTCTCCCCCAGCCCCACCGCCCAGCAGGAGGGGAGAGGACATGCTGGCGACCAGATTTCTCTGGGGAGGGGGGGGTTGCACTGACAAACAGCCAGGAGCATCCAACTGTTCTGTGGTTTTCATATGCACAGTCGTGGTAACTTTTTCATTTCCAGCTAACCTTGTGTTGTGTTTTGTTTTTAAACGTAGGCTTGCTGGTGAATTTAGCAGCGAAAAGGGCCACACGTTTGTTGAACAACTTCACAAAGTGAGTATTAATGATAATCCTCACCCAGTGCAGTCACTTCATCTGTACTATTGAAATGTAGTCTTTTTAATTTTAGACACAGCTCTCCCACTGACACACAGGAATTTAATAAATTTAGTATTAGAAAAAAAATAAATACTTAAGACTCGGACCCTTGCTCTCCCAGTTTCCTTCTTGGTTAAAGAAATGTATTTCTTGTAGAGTAATGAAGTGATTAGTACTGTTACTTTACGCTGTCACAGAGCCTCAGATTTGAAATGGGGGCAGAGTAACCACGTGGGCACGGTGGTGGGAGACAGCTCCCACCATGGCAGTCTGTGAGTTTTGCTAATTAGCTTCACCGTGCACAAGAACATTAGCAGAAGGAGCTAATGAGAGACTTTCAAAAGCTTTCCCAGTCTGCCTCGCGAGTATCCGGGGCTGTGGAGAGGCACCCCCTCTTGGAAGCAGAGGTGACATCCAGTCAGTGCTGTCTGCAGCTGTTTGTCACAGCCTTTCCTCCAGAGGTTACTGGTTCGGTGTTCTACCAGCAAAAGGGATTATATGAGCACTCCCCAGTTTGCTTTCTGCAAAGTCAGCCAGGGTGGTTTAATGTGCCAGTGAAAACAAGTACACGCGCTAATCTGGCTTCTCATAAAGCAATTAGGGAGCACTTATCTGATCCCCCCTGCCAGCAGGCTGGGGGATGATGAACAACAAGGGTAGGATCTTCTTTAATCAGCACAACCAGCTGTCGCCTCCCAGAGCTCGCCGCGGTTGTACCGGAGCATCAAAGGCTGGTTAATGAAAGCGCTTCTTATTTTTTGTCCTGATTGCCACATCTAGGTCCAGTGCATGCTGCAGGATGTGGGCTCCAACATCGCCACGCCTCTCTCCTCGGCCAGGGAGGCTCACTTAAGTAAGCTCCATGGTACCTTTCCTGGGATAAGGGTTCTCAAATCCCAGTTGTCCTTCTAGAGTGGCACTGGGGAAGCTGCTCTGGTGTGTGGTGATTGGAGATACTGCCCAAGGGCTGGGTGTCTGGGAGCTGAATGAAGTCACACAAACTGCTGCCTTTGTGTGACTCCAGCCTGTAAACTGCCCTGAGGTGCTGCCCCAACACTGACACCCAGCCCTGCTCCAGCAGGAGGACTTTCTTGGGGTACTTTCTTAGGACTTAGGGCCACAAGGATGATCAGGGGGATGGAGCACCTCTGCTACGAGGACAGGCTGAGGGAGCTGGGGTTGTTCAGCCTGAAGAAGAGGAGGCTCCAGGGAGACCTAATAGCAGCCTTCCAGTACCTGAAGGGAGCCTACAGGAAGGCTGGGGAGAACCTGTTTAGAAAGGCCTGCAGTGACAGGACGAGGGGCAATGGCTTCAAGCTGGAGGGGAACAGATTTAGACTGGAGATTAGGAGAGGGTTCTTCACTGTGAGGGGGGTGGAGCACTGGAACAGGTTGCCCAGGGAGGTGGTTGAGGCCCCATCCCTGGAGATATTCAAGGAGAGGCTCGACGAGGCCCTGGGCAACCTGGTCTAGTTGGGGGTGTCCCTGCTGACTGCGGGGGGGTCGGACTAGATGGCCTTTGGAGGTCCCTTCCAGCCTGGGCAATTCTATGATTCTATGATTCTATGACTTACTGATCCAAGAAGTGTGAAAGCAGAGCTCTGTCCGAAGACCGAATCATTTCTGCATTTCATTTAGTTGATTCTTCTTTTCCCCTCTGTAGAGCGAACATCTTTTAGTGAGAAGCCTGTTCTGGAGCTGGAGCAGTGGATTGACAGTTACTCAGAGCAGCTTCCTCCACTCAGAGCTTTCATCTTGCCAGTAGGTACTGCTTATGCCTCTCACTGCCTGGAGAAGGCTGGCTTTGTTAGGGTAAAGCTGCTCTGCCACTCGCTGGGGGAAAACAGGTTGCGAGGCTGTTATTTGTATGGGAAATACCAAAAAGAAAAGCAGTGGAAAGAACCCAATTGAGTTAAATTTCCACATCCTACTGCGTTCAGACACCTCTTCCCAGTTGCCTCGCTGTACCGTAGGGCTCCGCTGCGTGTGTGTGTGAGACGTGATAAGCTTTGCTGTGGTTACACAATCAGGTGGATGCTGTATCTGCCGTGGGCAGACACTGACGTGCTGTTTCATTGTTGTGTTTCATTGTTGTTGCAGTCGGGAGGTAAAAGCAGCGCCGCTCTCCATTTCTCCCGGGCCGTCTGCCGCAGAGCTGAACGGTGGTGAGTGCTGGCTGGAGTGTAAGAGAATAAAATTGATAAGAAGTGATCAGAATGCTACAAAGAGAGCAAATCGTGGCAGTCGGAGCAATCAACCCTCGCTCTTGCACATTCAGCTGGAGCTTGAGCCAAGCTTTGTGTGTTTGTGCTAGTCAAATTCCAGGAGTGCGGTCAGCAGAAGGCAAGTCTCTCTTCCCTCAGCTAGGTCATCCGAGCTAAGGGCTTCAGAAGGAACAGACAGGTTTATGTTGAGATGCATCTACGTGTTCAGCTCGTTTCTGGTGTGCTAAATGGAGCACGTGGAAGCTGGGGCACCGTCAGGTGTGACATCCAGGGAAGTTTTTAGCAGCTTAAGATGTTGCTGCCCACACCTACCGTGTCCCACTTCTCTATCGGAGATGAAAACTCCCCTGGTAAGGTCCGTAGGACTAAAAAAAAATACCCTCATTATCTAAATCAATTCCCTTCAAAGTCTCCTGTGTGAGCCTGAACCTGGGGGTTCTTTCCTGAAGCTGCTGATGTGCAGGAAGATGTTTTTGTGGATGTGCTGTGCTGCGAGGATCGCTGCTCTGACAAGATGCACTGAAGCAGCGTGATCTTCAAAAAAACTAACATCGCAGTGGGTGGTTTCTTGTCAAAAGAAGGGTAGAAAGAGGGCTGTGCACCAGCCAGGAGGCAAGAACAGCTCTGTTCCCTCCACAAAAGAAGGGTCCCTCTTTACCTGCAGAAAAGGGTAATGATCCTGCAAACCATTCAGTGATAGTGTCCGTGAGAGGTGTGGAGCTGCAGCCCTCCAGAATGGTTACAACCATTATTTGCATCCTTTAGCCATCACAGATTCCTCTTGGGGAAGGGGCCAGTGTTCACAGGTGCTGTGGGGAGTTAGAAGGGGGACTCCAGGTGAGGTTGGGGTGTGAAGGTCGGTGCTGCAGCAAATCACAGTCCTTCACATTCAAAGCTAGACATTTTCCTTTTCTTTTTCTAGCGTGGTTCCTTTGGTACAAGCAGGGGAAGCAGATCCAAACGTGGCCAAATATTTAAACAGGTAAAAAGAAATGAAATCCCCGACCCTTCTTCTCTGTCACCCGAGTGTGCCTGGTGGTGTTCCCTTAGTCTTGGGATAAAACTGCGGGGTTTTGCCTCTCAAGAAGCTTCCCTTCTAGAATAAGATTTCTGAAGTTTCAAGAAGCAGCTTGTTAAAAAAGTATTCGTGCTCAGCCTGTGTGTTTGCAGACCCTGCTGGGGTCGCTTTACTTTCTTGTTGAAGGTCATTTTTGGAAACCTCTTCTCATGTGTGTGGTTCCCCTTTGCCTGCCTGCCTTTACCTGCTGCTCTTGTGCTGTACCCAGCTGTGCATTGCTGGGTACAAACACTCAGAGTGAGAAGTGGCTTCATGGCTTCTCCCTTGGCTTCCAGACTGAGCGACTACCTCTTCGTCTTGGCACGTTACGCTGCAATGAAGGAAGGGAAGGAAGAGAAAATATATATAAAGCCTGAAGCATAACTGGGAGCTGGAATGTTTGTTTCCTTGATCACGGGAAGCTAAATCCAGCAGACTGCTCTCCCCCATCAAGGAAGGGAAAGAGAACGAGCCTGGATTGGAAATGGGAGCTGCCAAGGACTTCCAGCATAAATAACTGGGACTTTGTTCATAAATACTGTGAGGAGCACAGCTGTTCTGTGTAACACCGCGGCGATGGCATCAGAGGCACTGTGTGCCCTGGGTTGGAGTTGAGGCAGGAGACTTCGAAGAGCTACAGCTGATTTCTAGAGAGGTCTTCATTTCCCTGGGCAGCAGCAGGTGCTGTGGAAGGGCTTTGACAGGACTCTGAGGAATGAAGAGGAGAAAACAATCAGCTTCTCTTTGTGAGTCATAACGCTGGTACAGAACAGCGACCGTGTAGAGATTCAGGAACTCTGTCCTCCAGCTTTGGAATAATAAATGTGATTTACTTGTACCAAAGGGCCCTTAACTGTCATACTTTAATACTGAGCCCAGCGTGCTTTTCTTTTTTAAGTTGCTTTCAATCCATCAGCCCCGGCTGAAGCTGAGCTGTGTAGATTTACAGGAATGCAGGAAGAATTCTTTGGCTCTGGCTGCTTCTCTTTATGCATGTGAAGAATGTCTCTGTGCAAACAGCCCAGCGCGTTCCCTGCCAGGAACAGGGCTCATGCAGGACACAGGGATTAAAGGAGGAAGGGCCAAATCCTCCAGGTCATGTACAGCCGAGATGATTCCATGATTCCAAGCTCCCTAAATCCACGAGGAGCTGCCCCTCCAGCACAGGGTTTGTGTGAGTTTGGTCACAGCATCCCCCTCTGGCTGCAGGTACCAGCTGAAGGAGCAGAGCCCTCCTCTAGCTTTAGTATCTCTCTCCTGGGGACTGTTCAAGTCACCAAGTTTGCAGATAAGGAGGTTGTGCTGAGTGGCAGGGGCCTGGCACCTCCTGAGCTGACAGCCAGAGGTGGGAGAGAGAGGCCAACACCTAAAGGGGGTTCATATCTCACAGGCGTTAACATCCGTGGCCACCTCAGGAGCGTCACTGTCACAGAGCCCTCAGCAGAGCAGATTAGAGCGTGTCCCAGAGCCTGGGGAACCTGGCCAGAAACACCAGGAGAGCAGAATGCAGACTTCAGTGGAGAAGGCACCCTCTGTTCAGCCTCCTGATGGACTGAAAACGGCCCAAAAAACATCCTCAGTGCGTAAATATGCGTGTTAACGGCCAGCAGAACGAGTTAACGCCTTGCTACCCACGTTGCACAGAGAATACAGACAATTACAGCTTTACATTTAAGTCCAAGCTGCTTACAGCTTGGAAATAGAATTGGAAAGACACAAAGACATGTCAGACGTGGTGGTTTGAGTCTTCCCCTCCTCGTGTGATTAAGTCCAAGCCACTTACAGCTTGGAAATATAACTGGAAAGATACGTCAGAGGTGGTGGTTTGAGTCTTCCCCTCCTCGTGTGGAGGAGCAGCACAAAAACCTGTCAGCTGGGAGGTGATAACACCTCAAGGTGCTTGTCCAGCACCAAGGGTGTGACTTTTAGTGGTGGAAGCTCTCAAGTCAGTCACGCAGCTTCCTCTCCTCAATTATTTCAGTAGAAACAACCTTAAACTTGCTTCCCAAAAGATTCTCAGGCTTCTGTGTTAACTTTTTAATCAGAGTGGGGTGAGAGTGAAGAATGCCCGGCGCTAATAGACACCGCTGTCTCATTATTCACCCCTTCTCTTTTTTTTTTTTTTTCCAAACAGATATTTCATGGCTATTGTTAATGCACATTTTTCACAGAGTAATTTTCCGAGCCTTAGCCTGTAACACATCCCAGTGACAAATGCTCTTGATTTGGACTGTACCGTCAGCTGCAATGTCACATCAGACATTTGCTCAATGCCTGCTCCAGACAGGCCATCCAGTTTTATGATAGCTCTGTCTCAGTGATCACTGCTGAACCTTAAGAATCTCGAGGCTTTTCAAGTTTAATTGAATAAAATTCTTTGCAATATAAATTCTTCATGAATGCTATATAAATCAGTTCCAGGATGGATTTATAGTATTTCCTTTTTTTTTTTTTTTTTTTCCCAGCTGGGGGGAAGAAATCTCACTTCTGTTTTGGGACCAAAGCTAGTATTGTTTTGATTGCAAGGAGAAATAAATTTAGCCACTATGCTTTAACGTGATGTAGAGATTAAAATTTATTAGGGCACGCTCTGCTTCCTGCTCCCTTCCCCTCCCTGTGCAATCGTTTCTGCGGGGCTGAAGCAGAGGGAGGCTGGTGCTGGGGGTGCCCCAGTTGTCCCAGTTAAGCAGGGCCAGGGTTTGAATTTAGGGGCAGAGATGGGGCTGAGTGTGATGCCAGCCCCGTGGGATGTTTCCATCCCCAGGGGAGCTGCTGGCCATTAAGCTGCAGCAAGATTTGGGTCCTCAGGCCCCAGAGCATCCTCCACACTGTGCTGGGAGCAGGGGGACAGTGGTGGGGGGGGACACTGGGGCTGCAGCAGGGACCTTGTGCACCAAAGAAGTTGAGCTGGCATCTGGTGGAGGTCAGGGAGAGCTGGAGGGAAGCATCCCTGAAATAAAATACAGGCTTTAAACCAAATAAAAGCTCCGTTGCTGGGGGTTAGCAGTTGTTTTTTTCCAAATCCTTTGTCCCCACCCAGCAAATCCAGCCCGTACAGCATCATAGGGATTCCGGTGCCTGCACCTCATTAATATAATGGGAGGAAGGCAGATGCTTTGTCCGTGCTGACCGTATGCAGAGCCCAGATACATTCCTGCCTCACAGGGTTCCTTATTTATGATTACGTGGGAGCTGCCAGCACAGACATATGTTGCTAAGGGTCGTTTATTCTTGTTTGTAAAATGTATGGCTGCTCCTAGCTTACACACTGTCAAAACTGGAAGAACTGGCCCCAAAATCTCTTGCTGCATGATTGGATCAGATGCCTGTACATCTGTTAACGCTGTAGGAGCTGTAAAATGAAATAAGTTTCACTATAACTCAAGCACCTCTATTACCGCCGCGATGTGTAAGCAGCAGAGCCGGCTGCTGCTCTTGCAGAAATGACACAAACATACATTTTGCCAAGTCACATGTAAATTTATACAAGGCAGCGTTTCCTCTGCGAATGCACAGAAGGGAGAACTCGTGCCTGTGTGCCCCCACCTCAAAAGGATGCTCTGGGCACCCCCCCCAGCCCGGGTGCTGCAGCTGAAGGGTGAGTTTTGGGGTGCAGGGTGCCAGCAGTGGGGAGCCAGCAGCAATCCTGCGCTCCTCCTCTCAAGCTGGAGGAGCAGAAGGGACCACATCTGCCATCAGGTCAAGTCCTCTGCAGTTGCAGGCCCCTGAAATACCTCTTTTTCCTGGAAGGGCTCAAAGAACAACCTTTCCCCACCCAAATCAGCACGGTCAGATCTGGTTAGAAAAGGGTGGGTGTGCAGTTGAGGGTGCCCAGGGTGAAAGCCACCATCCCTGCATCAGACAAAGCAGATTCAGCCCATTTCATAGAATCATAGAATGGTTTTAGTTGGAAGTGACCTTAAAGAGCATTGAATTCCAACCCCCTGCCCTGGGCAGGGACACCTCCCACCACACCACGTTGCTCCAAGCCCCCTCCAACCTGGCCTTGAACCCCTCCAGGGATGGGGCATCTACAGCTTCTCTGGGCAACCTGGGCCAGGCTCTTACCACCCTCACACCAAAGAGTTTCTTCCTCAGATCTCATCCAAATCTCCCCTCTTTCAGTTTAAAACCATTACCCCTTGTCCTATTGCTCCACTCTCTGATAGAGTCCTTCCCCATCTCTCCTGTAGGCCCCCTTTAGGTACTCTAAGGCCACTATAAGATCTCCCTCAGGGGGAGGAAAGGGCTGTTTTGGTCCCCTCAGGCTATAAGGTCTCCCTCGGGGAGGAAAGGGCTGTTTTGGTCCCCTCAGCTCTACCTTTGCTGCATCCAGGCAGAAAGTGCCCACCTCTGCCCTGTCCCCACTACAGCTGCTCCATAGGGCATGCAAGGAGATGCTATACCTGGTGCTCCAGCCACCCCAGGGTGAAGGTGAAGCTGCACAGGGTTGGTATTGAAGAACTTGACCTTATAAAGAGCCAAAAAAGCATATTTCTGAACAGCCAGTTAAGTACCACTCACCCAGGAGGCAGCGGGGACAAGCCATTGCCACGCAGGTCTGACCACTCCATCACCCATTCAGGTCACCACAGTGCTGCAGGAGCTGCCTCGTGTCTTGGTAAACGTGAGCAAATGGAAAAATAAGCTGCAGGAATAAGCTTTTTTCTTTCTGCTCAGGGATGCACAGAGTTCTTCATGTTCTTCTCCTTCTCCATCTGAACCTGCAACCAGCCCTGGCATGGAGGGCCGTGGCTGGGACACCACCACTGATGGAGCACCAGCCTCTGGTGATGCCTCCTGGCTCCACATCCAGCCTCTGTGTGGTCCAAGCTCCTTGGCCACCATCAAGACCTCACCCTCTGACATCCCTGAGCGTAGGGCCAGCCCCGGCAAGCCCGTTGCCATCCTGGCTGGCCACGCGGCGACGGCGAAGCAGGCATTTTGCAGGCCTGGCTGTTTGCTGCCAGCTTTCTGCCTTGGCAGCATCTGCTGTGGGGTTTCTTTTTGCTGTTTCTGACGGCGCCATATGCCTCCGTGTCAAAACAATGGCGCTTGCACACTGACTGGGAGCCCTCTCCCTCGCTCCCACCCAGGCTCCCTCTCCCACAGGGCCCCGAGCTCCGCGTTCCTGTGCTCCAAAGCTGGGGGGGTGACCGGTCAGTGAAGGGCCACGCTGTCAGGGACCAAAGCTGAGGCACAGGCACAGCTCCTCACCCCTACAAGGGTCCTCCTGGAGCCAGGCGAGGGGAGAAACATGATGCCTTTATTATAATATTAACAACAAACTCCATGTCAGCTCCAGTCCTGGTCCTTAGAGCAGCTTCTAAAATGCCAAACGCAGCCTTGCCTCACAAACTCACCTCTCCCTCCCCAAACCAAGAGGTGCCAGACTCCTTGGGGCAAAGATGCCACATTGGCACCTCAGTTGCCATCCAAACCCAATCCTGGCCCTGGCAGCGGAGCCTCTGAAGTCTTTACCACCAGCCTTCAGCTTCTGCCTGCAGCAGAGCTCCTGGAAAGAGCCCTCACTCAATGGGACATCCTCACTGAGCACATGGGGACACAGGCTGCCCTGCTCTCCTGTGCTGGGGGATCTTGCTTGGCTTTCCAGTCTGGTTTCCTTTCCACCAGTCACCCAAGCCACCAGTCTGAGTTGACCAGAGCCCTGCAAACCCCGGGTCAGGCTCAACACCCCCAACATCTAAGGAGCACCTATGTTCTCATGAAGGACCAAAGTCACAGCCCCCTGCGTACCCAAAGAGGACTTTCTCCAACCATATTCCAAGATGCAAGAACAAATCCTGCTTCAAACCACCCCACCAGGTCCCTTGGGGCTCAGGG